AGGCAGGCGCCGGGTGGGTGGACGCGCGTCGTGAGGGAACACGCGGAGAGGGGTGGCGGCGCAAGGAAGAAGAGAGTCACGGCTCAGGCGCCGCGATCACGTGAGCGAGGATCGGGTATCTGGTGATACCATGTTAGAGTGGGAAGATCGATTGGGGGCAAAGGCCACACTTGGGCAACGACCTGGGGAGCCATTATATATAAGCCAATGGGCTGAATTACGAGAGGTGATAGACACCAATAATAGGTAACTATACAAGCCTACCATACAACTATACAAGCCTACCATACATGTGTAACAATATTCCAACATTTAATATTGCGAAAACACAAACTTGTAGGAATTGTTGTGGCAAACTGGTAGTAGTGTTGGCTCTGGAATTTTTACACCAAAATCCTAACATTTTTAGGCGCCTACGGTAATTTTTGCGGCTCCAGAATAATTGTTTTGCTAGAATAGCTAATGAGCCCTAGCTCAAATATATATATATATTAAACAAAATAAAGAAATACTTTGAAATGGTATAACTAAAATACTGTGGTAAAATAGCGCGTTGTCGACAACATGAGTACGTAGCTTAGTACATTAGTCATTAAAGCCAGCTCGTTGGCTTAGCAATGTAATCATATTTTAGAGTGGCGATTGTCGTGATTATTTACATTTCCGCGCTGCATCCACGAATATCATAATAGGAACCACGATGGATCGTGGAGTCGACCGGAGTAGCAGAAAAGATGGTGTCTGGATGATCGGGTCGCCACAATGGAATGATAACTGTTGGTTATATCCTACCCAGGCAAGCCCCGGTGCATAACCCATATATATCCTTATCCTATGAGTCCTACTAGTATGTCAGAATCGTGTAGAATGCTATGCTATAGGATTCGGTAGAAGTCGAGTGATTATCTGTCACTCGCGAAAGATAGAAAATATATTATTGTTGTTATTATATTACTATCACATGGAATATATATGGATGATAATTGGAGACCGGGCGGAAATGTACTTTGGATCTGGACTTGGTTATGCATTCGAGCGAGGCTCGGATTGCATTTGTTCCGCCTGGGTCGATTGAGGACCGTCCGTTGTTGTGGATGGTAGTCAGGTCACAGACTTATTATCCTGAGCACATACTTGCTTATGAGAGCGGAAAGGCTCGTTACGCTCTTATTGCGAGTTCCGGCTCTTTCCGGACCGACTGATTAGAGACGGGGAAAGGTGGAGGTCTAAGCATCATATTGAGACCGGGTGGGTTGATCTTGTTTGTGCCTGGGGTACAAACGGAACGTGTGTTTTGGGGTACCCAGCTGGGATACATTGATTCGCGAATCACCGTTTCTGTGAGACGGTACGACTTAGCTATGGTCTAGCACCGTAGTAAGAATTGTAACTTGAAAGGTGATAAAATGGTTCTGATTGCTTACCACCTGCTTGAAAGTAGCATAAATGCTTACATAGAACGGTTAGTTAATGAACTAATGATGACTGCTAATAAAATTGAATATAGGGACGCACGTTTAGTAATGTTTCCGCAGATGCAATAACCCACAAGCCAAATAAGCCTTACATATCATTGGAATCTTTTATTTTTCTCCTGCCGGGTAAGTCTTCCTGAGTACAATCGAGTACTCAGAGTTTTATTTCCCCTGTTGCAGGTGATCGGAGGATACTTAGAACTGACTCTTGTGTGTGGAAACATCTTGGTGGGCTCAGAGAGGATTCCTTCACGCTACGACCGTAGTATTTATTTATACCCCTCACTAAAGGTTTTTATAAGAAAATATGTAAAATCTGTTAGCATCTCTTGTATATAAATGTCCACTACGTTAATGCTCCACCATGTCATTAAATTAATCTTTGCTTCCTCTGTAACTCTAATAGCATTGTTATATTCCGCTGTTATAATCAATTGAGGGTAATATTCTATTACCATAATAAAGTGATGTAAGAAATGACTTAAGAATGTTGTGAGCTGTATTCTCTCATTTATGATCCTGATGGAAAAATATGGATTTTCGAGTTCTTCCTTGAGGTGTGCTCGACGGAACTGCGTAGTTTATTGTCCTCTCTTGAGTACCTAGTGTCTAATGGAAGACAAGTACTACTGAGAGGCATTAGATTAAGCGGTTCTGCCACACACCTTATCAAAAATCACGCTGGCATGTCATCAGTCTATCATAAAAGCAAGATCTTATTGCAAATTCATTAGGTTACTACAATGACATTAGCATAAATCAACATGTCAACTTCAGAATTTCTACATCTGTACACTCCCTTTTTTGGACAGAACACAGCTGCTGATTCATTTCAGTTGCATTAAACACCAGAAAACAGGAACAGCACACAGGCACACACACTTGCACAATTCAGGGCTGTACTTAAGTTTGTGAGCTATAAATTTAGCTAAAACTTCGCAAAATTGTTTACCATTGAGGATTCCAAAACCAATGAACAACAGGGCCTCATCAATTTCAATCAGTTCAACAGTCAGTGAATGTCTGCATACCTCTAATTTCCTCATCAATTTCAATCAGTTCAACAGTCGGTAAATGTTTGCATACCTCTAATTTCCTAGAAATCGAAACTGCTTCAATACGCAGCTTTAGACGCATGAATTGTTTGAAATCCACACAAAACACAGGCACATCCAGCAACAAAAAAGAGCACTAAATCGAGATCTCGGAACATTGTAAAAGATCGACCCAGCGCAATATCAGGCGCAACTAATTTAGAACTGAGTTACACTTACACAATCCCTAAACGCTGCAAACCTAGGCACCTGCAACAACCTAAATACGAGTACGGCCGAATTCAGTGGGAGCTGGATCACTTACCATCGATCTTGACGCGGCCGGCGATCGTGTACCCCTCTCCAGATCTAGAGCCACCAGCCACAAGAGCCAAATCGGGAGAGCGGTCAGCAAAGCATCCGGCCGATCGGATCGCGGAACGAGCGGGGGTGAAGGACAGGGACACCTACCCGGCTTGATGCGCTGCCGCGGTGCCGAGGAAGGCCGACGCGACGGCCACGAGGAGGAACAGGAGCAGGTGCCCGTGGCAGAGGGAGGAAGCGGCCATCGTCGCCGTCGTCGTCGTTGCTCGTCACGGTCGCCGAAGGCCGGAAGGGGAGTAGAGCTCGTCGGCTCGTCGCGGCCTTTTTCCTTTGGGGTGTTTGCGCTTCGGTTCGGTTTGGTGTTCTCGGAGTGGGCTGTGGGCTTCGGTCGAGGAGACGGAGAGTAACGGGCTCTTTTTTGGGCTTAAACACAATGGGCTCTATTTGGGTCTAGTTGGGCTACGCTAGTGATCCATCCACGACGGTCAGATCCGGCCCAGCGAACTGGAATCTGTGAGGTGACGGTGGCGGGCCCGCCGCGGCGCAACCAACCACACCGAGTTACGAGGGATGTCGACAGGTGGGACCCTTTTGTCAGTTAGTGTGACTCATCCCGATCCGTGCTGGCGTCTGGGGCTCTCTCTTTGCCGTTCCGTCACGGCTTAGTTTGCTCGCCAAACTGGACTGATTGGTGATTTGCCAACGCTGCGGCAGCGCCGCCGAGCACGAGCCCGCCGGGAGGCTCCTCCACCTGCCGCTCCAGGGTGCGCTGCCGCCATTGCTCATCTCCTCCTTTGTGGAGCGGAGATCCACCCGGGCGCCAATTGGTCTCCTCTTTCGTTGGCAGGTAATCCTAGGACGGCCTCCGTTTCTCTATGAGTTGGTCTTGTTCGCTAGCAGATCCAAATCTTCTCTGTCTCTGTCTCTACGTTGGCTCGGTGTGTTGTGTTTTGGCGTGCTGCGTGGTGGCCTGTTAGTCCAAATCCATCTATCCATGTTTTGCCTAGGTTCCTTTGCTTCTTCATCAGGCTCAAGATCACACTAGTTGGCTGGCATCACACTACTTCCTGAGTTCTTGGTGCCCAATTAAGTCGGGGATACAACGAAACTCGTGCGAACTGATGTTCCTGCAGAACTTATAATAAGCAAAATCAAACATTTTTTGCAACGGTTATATACTTATATGTACTGAGCCTACTGATGTGTGAAGAAAAAATAGTTAGAACTACTATTCTTGTTAGATGGATGGTGAGTACGAAATCCCAAGCAGAAATGAATTCAATTGTTGGGATAGTTCCTATTTTCTGCACACCTTTAGCTCATCAAGGAAAAACCAAGTAAAGAGAGGTACTGTCGTTGGAATTGAAGTGCATGTTATCAGGTGCTGGAAACTGGAAAGACTTCTCTGTCTTCGTTTGTCCTTCCTCATCTGTACACTTGTGCTGCTCCGTATGTTCTTTCTTCTATTTGTTTGCTCTTACTATTTCTTGAATGACAGCTCTACGGCCAATAAATATGTAGTTTGGTCATGTTCTCTTATTCGTTTTTTTTTTCATGCTAGAGTACGGGCTGTAGGTTCAAGATTCTTTCTACACTTTACAGTTGGATTAAAATAGGTTCCTAGTAACCTCAAATGGTTATGATCTATATTAATCATGGGTTGGGTCCACCAGACTAATAGCTGGAAAATTGGATGTTCTCCTTTTCTGTGAGATTTTCTAAAAGGTTCCTCCTTCCTTGGTTTCTGCAAAAGACTTGCCACCTACTTTTACTATATAATAGATGAGTGATCATATTTGCATTTAAGGGCAGTGTGTCATGTTTGGCAATATCACAATAATGAGGCAAGGTTAATTTTTCTTTAGCCATCTGCTGACATTGTATCTAAGACCGCAGTGATGATCTCAGGCTAATCGTGGTAATATCAATGTATCAAACTAATGAAATCTATGTGTTCTGCTGCTCTTACACAATTTAATAACTTTAGTTGCTATTCTTCTGACCAAGTCTTTTGTGTAGTAGTAATACAGCGTTGCTGGTTTATTGCTATAATATTTCTGTTGTGTGATCAGTGAAAACTAGCTCATTTGCAATCCATTGAATCTCTTAAGCATTTTTGCAAATTGATTTTGTAATTTTAGGCTGAGTAACGTCAACTCCTGAATCAATGAGGGGCTGGGGCTTACTCGTGTTATCGCTACATGTTCTTTCATGCCTGGTTAGTGGTGTTGCCTCTGGTCGAACAAGCTCTTACGTGCGCACAGAGTTCCCTTCTACAGATATACCTCTAGATAGTGAATGGTTTGCGATTCCAAAGGGATATAATGCTCCACAGCAGGTAAGTAACTTTGTCACCAGATTCCAGCTCATTATTCATGCTATCATTGTATAGTCTGTTTAGTGCTTACATCATGCTGGTACCAGGTTCATATCACCCAAGGTGACTATGATGGAAAGGCAGTTATAGTATCTTGGGTTACTCCAGAAGAACCTGGGCCAAGTGAAGTGTTTTATGGCAAGGAGAAGCAATATGACCAGAAAGCAGAAGGAACAACAACAAATTATACGTTTTACGATTACAAATCTGGATACATACACCATTGCCTTGTTGATGGCCTTGAGGTAATATACTAATAGGTTTCATTTTTTTTTCTATACTTCAATTCAGGCTTTATGTTATATTCTTATTCAAAATGTTTGCCCTGCACACTATTCACCCTTGAATATCATAACTCAAACACAATGCTTCTTTAATAGAGATAGACTTCTCTTGATGAAACAAATTTATTAATGCAGCTACTTTTTAGAATGCTATTTACACAGCTACCTCTCAATTAGTATGCACATGTTGGATTGGCCACAGAAATTTTCTTTATTGAATTTCAACTGTACAAGGTTATTTTATTCTAACATGATGCTATGTAAAATTCCAAATATATGCTGTAACTTTATTGTTTGCACTTTGCAGTATAGCACTAAATATTATTACAAGATTGGAAGTGGATATTCAGCTCGAGAATTCTGGTTTGAAACGCCTCCAGCAATTGATCCAGATGCATCATACACATTTGGCATCATAGGTTTGCCTTTCCTTGTTTAATTATTATTACTTTAGATCACTGCATATTGCTGTTCAATTGTGTTGGACCTCTATCAACCCCTGCCCTAGCTAGGTTGCATGAGACACAGCTGTGTGAAATGACAGCAACTATTGGTCACAGATTGCTTTTGACCTTGCCTAGCAAGCTAGAAATTGGAGCAAACAATACTGTGTGGGCTACCTCTGCAATGCTGACCATAGAAAATGTAAATAATCATGGCACACATGACTGAAGGGACACCTATCCCCACCGCCATGCAGACATCCTGCCCCCCCACACACACCCCATGACACCGTCAGAGAGTGTCAGCATATCTGAGGGAGCAGAGCCCCAAATGGATAGTATAGGTGTTGAGTACAGCAAACATGTGTTGATTTTAATGAGCTTACACTATATAATGATGAAGCCTGGTTAATGGCTATATTTACAATCTTACCTTGTATATTCTGAAACAACTCTTGATATGCACTCTGACCGTCCATAAAAGGCATTCTGGGAAAATAGAAAATCGATTAGTCGTCATGGACAAAAAGGGCGTACCCAGTGCAGAGAGCTCCCGCTCTGTGCGGGGTCTGGGGAAGGGTGTCAGTGGCAAGCCTTACCCTCGCCTGTGCAATGCGAGGAGACCGCAACTCGAACCCGGGACCTTCCGGACACAGGCGGTAAGACTCTACCGCTTGCACCAGGCCCGCCCTTCTCGTCATGGACAAAAATTAGGCAAATAATATTGCCTTAGTATTACTGATTCAGCGCTTTGAGCAGATTGATCCCAACTCTTTCCATCTCCGTTGTTCCAGGTGATCTGGGGCAAACATTTAATTCTCTCTCAACTCTTCAACACTATGAGAAAACTGGAGGTCAAACTGTTCTATTTGTTGGGGACTTGTCGTATGCTGATAGATATGAACATAATGATGGCATTCGTTGGGATTCTTGGGGTCGATTTGTTGAGAGCAGTACTGCATACCAGCCTTGGATTTGGAATGCTGGAAACCATGAAATAGAGTACAGGCCTGATCTGGTAATTTATGTTCACATCTTTGCTAATACAGCACCTTCCATTTGAACGTAACTACCTAAACCTGTTTTAAAAGGGAAAAAAAAAACATGCTTGTCTTTTCTTTCAGTAACCTCTTTATTTTTTTATTTGATATTTCCAGGGAGAAACTTCTACATTCAAGCCATATCTGCATAGATATATGACTCCATATTTGGCATCAAAGAGCAGTTCTCCTATGTGGTATGCTGTCAGGCGTGCATCTGCTCATATCATCGTGTTGTCTAGCTACTCTCCATTTGGTAACATTCTCTTCAAGCTTGTTTTCTTTTGTTTCTGCCATACATATGGAGTTCTCTGGCTGCAAGAAGTTTAAAGTAATTTGTATGTTACACCTTGATGCTTTTATTTATATATCTGAGATTCCTTTGCTTTTGGTGAAAAGTGAAAGTTTAAATGCAGTTAAGTGATGAGCAGTTGTAACCTGTAGTGTTGGGTGGAAAATAGGTGTTAGTGCTTCCCTAATTGAAAGAAACAGGAGGGGCGAACCCCTATACTGAATAAATATATATATTAGGAAAAAAAAAAGTTCAAACAAACAAGGAAAAGGAAGCTAGGTTTGTACAAAAGAATCTACCCAGTCATAAGGGGAAAATAACTCCTCTTCACACAATGCAAAACATTGCGAATTCGTGAATTGGATTTGCAAGCCTGCGCAGAAGGCAAGATTTGACTGAAATGTAGTCATTTCTCACTAGCCAAATAATGCTTCCCTAACGAGTACATTCTCACAGTAATCCCTTTAAATTGGCATCATATATAGTTATACTACTAGATTTCAGAAACATGCTTGATTTTAGTAGCTGGATTGCTCCTTACTTAGTAGCTGATTTGTTAGTTTCTTTTGTGGCATATTCCCATTCAAGCTTGTGACCTAACTTCTAAACTTCTGATGGTTATTAGTAAAATACACTCCTCAATGGTTGTGGCTGAAGCATGAATTCAAGCGCGTGGACAGGGAAAAGACACCTTGGCTTATCGTTCTCATGCATTCTCCCATGTACAACAGCAATGAGGCACATTATATGGAGGGTGAGAGTATGAGGGCTGCTTTTGAGAAATGGTTTGTGAAGTACAAGGTCGACTTGGTATTTGCAGGGCATGTTCATGCTTATGAGAGATCAGTAAGTTCTCCCCTTCAGCAAAGTTTCCTTCCATTTGATTTTTTTTCACATGGTAGAAATTCTGAGTTTAGTCTGGACTGTCAATTTGTTCCTTCAGAGTTGAATCAGATATCTGAATGTTGATTTCTCATTGATACCCTACGCTTGCAGTACCGCATTTCTAATGTCAACTACAACATAACATCGGGAAATCGATATCCAGTGCCAAACAAGTCTGCTCCTGTTTACATAACAGTTGGTGATGGAGGCAACCAGGAAGGACTTGCTTCAAGGTGAGAGGAACTAGCCGGCAAACGTTTTATTGGTGCTATTATGTCTACCAAACTCATACACTCATCTGGCCTACTAGACAGAAAATTGTGGTTGAGGTCATGGTTTCAACTTTCAAGTCTCGTCTCACCTTAGCATCAGAGATAGATAGTTTCTCCTTCACATTATTGCTTTCATTTTTCTCCGAAGTCTTTGGAGCCTTGCCTGTTGGGTTAACCCACCATTTTGCAGGTTTTATGACCCCCAGCCAGACTACTCAGCGTTCAGGGAGGCCAGCTATGGTCATTCAATTTTACAACTGAAAAACAGGACTCATGCTGTCTACCAGTGGAATAGAAATGATGATGGGAATCCTGTTCCAGCAGACACCGTGATGTTTCATAACCAATATTGGTGAGTGTCCTACTTACGGTTTTTTTTCTAGGGCAAGCATTGTTTTCAAATATAATGTGCATCTGTTGCTTCCGTTATGAGCTCAATTCCTGCCAGTTTGACTATAACCTTTCACAATTTGCAATTGTGTTTCCTTAGCTCTTAACTGTTGTTGCCATCCATCTGACTGAAATGGCAACTGTTTGGTGCACAGGACAAGCAGCACGCGCCGCAGGAGGCTGAAGAAGAACCATTTCCATCTCGAGAACCTTGAGGATTTGATTTCCCTATTCTAGGAAGCCAGTCTCGCAGGATGTCACGCAGCATGAGCTTTGTGAACAATCGCAGAATAGCACTCTTGGCAGCAGCAGAGCCAGTCATCAGACTGGCAATGGCAAGTCCAGCTACCTGATTTCATGCCAAAGGAGCCACGGTGACCTCTGTGGCTCTGAAATTCTGAATGCTGTACTTGTATGAAAATAGTGGAAATAATACGATTAAATCCGGATCCGGTACATATGTAACATTTTATACACATGCAATAAACATCAGTGTCCACCGTTATCCGGGAACCATTTTCGCTTGTCCGCGCTGTGCCCAGTGGAGATTTGTTATTTGTGCACTAATTAATCCCTTTCCATCTCGTTGCCGAGTTATGAGCTAATGTGGACACATGCTGGTGATGTGAATTCTCCCATTGAGAAACGGACAAGTGCAGTAGGTCGGCTAGACCATTCTTAGGCCCTGTTTGGTTGAAATGTGTGGTGAAAAAAAGGCTGCATGGGTTGTGAAATGTATGGAAAAGCTGCTCGTGTGAAATTTGTGAAATGGTAGAAAAAGTGAAAATTTGTTTGGTTAAACAAGTATAAAATATATCTTTTATCTTTATCTCTCTTGAAACAACTATGGAAGAGCTTTTTATTCCACCAATTTCGAAAAACAGAAAGCCAAAAGCAGGGTCAACCCAGCTTTCAAAAATGAACTACGGAAAAGCAGCTGCTTCTAAAAAAAACACCCTCCAAAAACAGCCCCTTTGGTTGAACTTTTGGTTTTTAGGGCCAAAAGACAAAGCCAAAAACCCAACCAAACATGGCCTTAAACTGAGACCTGGCCCAATCCCATGAAGCCAGCCTATCCCGGAACTGGTAGCGTGATGATTGCATGAATCCTACTCTGACTTGTACCTTTCTTTGCACGTACTAGTTACCATATTAGGGCCTGTTTGGTTTTCACAGGTCAGGTGACTTATTAAGTCAGCTGTGGTTTTCATAGGTCAGGTGACTTATTAAGTCAGCTGACTGAAAACCAATGACTTATAAGTTATGCCTGTTTAGTTATAGATGACTTATAAGTTCATTAAAGGTGTGGGCCCTACATAAAAAAGGGTGACTTATAAGTTTTAAGCAGGGGTGAACTAACTTAAAACTTATAAGCAGGGGTGACTTATAAGTTGGTGGTATTTAGCAAAATAAGTCACTTTTTTCACTTTTTAACTTATAAGTAGGTGACTTATTTAGAATCAGGCCCTTAATATAATGCCCTGCTCTGCCAACCTTATTATTGCTAATAAAATCTTTCGCGTGTCACCTGAAGAGAGTTCTCTACCATTTCGTTGAATCGTCCACGTCGCAGTCACAATCTTCTTATTCTCGCTTTGCTTTATGATTCGGATTTTTCAGTGAATAGAAAACCTTCTCTTCCCCTTGGAATGTATATAAAAAAATAAAAAAACAGACATGTCTCTTCAATTCATACTGGTGATTCAAAACCGAGTCCAAGTAATTTTCAAACCGCTGGATATCGACGTCTCAAACTAATCCCACTTGCCTTTGGAGTAATATAGAGGGCAAACCTCCACACTTAACACAACTTGACCTTATTTAATTCCTTCTCGTCCCACAAGTAAGTAACTCGTCCAAAATACTCTCTCCATCCCAAAAAGAACGTAAATCTCGCTTTCCGAGAAGTTAAAAAATCTTAAGTTTGACTAAGTTTATAAAAGATATTATATACATTTGAATGTCCAATTAAGTTTATTATGAAAATATATTTCAGACTAATATAATGATGCTTAATATTTATACTTGGTTAAAATTAAAAATATTTGACTCCTCAAGATGTGAGGGTTACATTCTTTTTTATGAAGGTAGTATTACAGCGCTCTAGTACTTCGGTCCTTTTAAAAAAGGAACTGCTCCATAAAAAATTTCAAACCAACCTGCTCCGTGAAAAAATTCAAACCGACAAGTGGGTTGGATAGAACCATGAAACCCCTCGAGAAACCGTCGCGAGAAGAGCCGTGAAAGTTCAGCTGCTCCAGACAGAATCCAAGTGCCACAGCCCACAGACATGTTGCCCACCAAACTACGCCAACCAAATCAGAGCCGTACTAGATCATACATACAGTACACACCAAACCCGTTTGGCAATTAACAACGCCGCTAAATATTCCTTGAGGATAAGCTCACGCATTAATTTAAACACCAGACACAGCCCACAGGTGCCAGCCACCACATCGGATCCGCCACACGGTCGTTGCGTCAGGTCAGAGCTGTAGGCGGCGTCGGCGAGAGCTTCGATTTCGATCACCGTGACTGGGATCCGATGGTTCACCTGGTGGAGAGGAAACCGGGGTGACCTCGCGGGCAGAGAATCGCGTCACCGGCGAGGCGGACTGACAGCGCCGCCGCTTGGCGCACGCTAAGGGCGGGGCGCCGTGTGGCCGCCGTCGCGGGCCAAGCGAACAGGGCACCTGGAGACCCGCCGCTGCCGCCGCCGCGTCAGCCGGCCCGGCTTTGTGTTGTGAGCATCGGAGAATGGCAAGTGGGGCAATATCTATCTATTTATTTATTTATCTATAACGGCCGTGGGCCCATGGCGACGAGAGGGCACGGCGACCGGTATGGTGCATGGATAGGCTCGGAGTGCATGATACTCGCTCGGTCTCGAAAGAGATGTCATTCTTACTTTTTAACAAGTCCAACACTTTTAACTTTGATAAAAAGAAATATAAAATACAAATATTTATAATATATAATTAGTATCATTAAATAAATCATTAAATATATTTTTATAATAAATTTATTTGGAGATATAAATGTTGCACACATTTTCTATAAACCTAATTAAAGTTGAGAAAATTTGACATGTGCATATCCCACTTCTATTTTAGGATGGAGGTATATAAAATATAAATATTTATAATATATAATTAGTATTATTAGATAAATCATTAAATATATTTTTATAATAAATTTATTTGGAGATATAAATGTTGCCCATATTTTCTATAAACCTAATTAAAGTTGAGAAAATTTGACCTGTACGTATCCCACTTCTATTTTAGGACAGAGGTTGGTATGAAAAAAAAATCTATGTACATAAATGCAGAAACTCTTCCCTAGAGGATGACACGTGCATGAGTACGAGATGCACCGTGTTCACCCAATCAGGATGGCCAGTGTAAGCTTTGGACAATTGGACGTATCTATTGAGGCATGATGCATTGCAATCATATTTTGGCATCCGGTTCATGCAGGCTGCATCAACTCAGCAGGTTACCAATCAGACTTCTTTCTCAGATTATACGAACCCACCCAGCTTGGATGAAGTGGATGCATCCAACCAACATGCCCGTAGTTGCTTGTGTATCGAGTCTCACTGATTCCTTGTGATGGCTAGCTTTCATGAGGAGTGAGGGGCCTTTTAATTTTAGCCCTCCTCCTAATTGTGATTTTTCAAGATCAACATCTCCTAATTCCAACTCAAGATCATGGAAATGCTTCGACTTTGTCGAAACCAATACTGCTGATTGAAAAATAAAGGTGTTATATATTCAACGCAAGGATGACATGGTAACTTGCATGACATTTTTATTTCAATCCAAGTGATTTTGGTGACGAAAGACATAACTCTAGTGTACGTGTATACTCTCTACAACGGATAATCTTTAATAGGAGGGTAAAGTCTAAATTTTCTATCTCCAACTTACATGACAGACTAATTTTCGTTCCCTAAGTTATGAAATCGTGTACCAAACGCCCTCAGACTATCGAAACTGAATGATTTTAGTCCTCTTCAAACTTCATGACCCTGTTCGCTTCTCTTATAATCCGTCTTTTTTCAACATTTTTTTTTTAAATTAAACAATGTTTTTCTCTCACACCAAATCAGCCGGAACAGTGTTTTGGCTTGTTTTTTCAGCGAAGCGAACGAGGCCCATATCTATATAATAAAAGCCGGTTTAGTCTCCAAAACTGCACAAATAACTTATTTTATTAAATTAGAAAACATCATAGTAGTATTAGTTTTCTTCTAAAAAGGTTCTATTGGTGATGTTCTATATGGAGCTATTTGAATCTTCTTTGTTTTTTTTCAAAGATAACGAACACGACTATAAGTAATAAAGGAATAGGAAGTTCCCAATAACTCATATAGACCACAAACAAATAGATAATAACATTTTCTTTAGAAATGGTGCTAGCTTCATGTTTTCTGATTAAAATAAATGAATTCTGAAGTTTTAGAGGTTAAAATAAGACATTAATTAGGAAACCACCTTTGAAGTGTGCAAAAACACCATATATTGTCTGTTTTTAACCGTTGAAAAACATGTTTCATAGCTTATTAATGTTGAAAATCGATCTGTCAATTAAATTGGAGGTTGAAAAAAAATAGACCTTATCTAAAATAGCATGCACCTCTTGAAGCCATAAAAGAACATTATGGCATTATCAAACAACCTTGACAATTGACAAATGACGCGCTTACCAAACCCATCTTACAATGCAGTACGCTACGTCACATGTGGTGTTGCATGTTGTAGTGTACAGTACTCCCTTGGTCTAAAAAAATGACATTTTTTATTTTCAGACATCGTCTTATTCAAAAATTTTGTGTAAATAATAAAATAAATAAATTATTATTAAAGTATATCTAATGATAAGATAAGTCATAATAAAATAGATAATATTTATATAAAAAAATTGAATAAAACGAATGAACAAATAAGATGTCTGGAAAAAAAAACGACGCTCGGTTGCTTGTGGTTGACCAATCGCTACGAAGGGAAAAGGGAATCATTCATTGCTACAGAACGATGTTGGTACAGAACGAGTAGTCAGACTCGTCTTTCCTGTTTCCAGTCTCCTGTCCGTGGCATGGTCTCTGACGGCGAGTCGGCGCGGGAGCCTGCACCTGCACGGGTCAAATTAGACAAGTCCCCAAGGAATTTATTATGTCTAATTAATTCATCGTTACCACATATTTACTGTAGCACCATATTATCAAATTATGAACTAATTATGATTAAAAAATTTATCTCGTAAATTAGTACCAATCTTTGGATTTAATTTTGTAATTAGTCTTATATTTAATACTTCATATATGTGTGTCAAATATTCAATATGACATATGCTAAAATTTAGGAGAGGAAAATAAACATAGCTGGCAAGCGGGAAAGGTAGAAGATGCTGCTA